GATTCATCCGTGAAGAGAACACCTCTCCAAAGTGCTAGACGCCATCGAATATGAGCATTTGCCCACTCAAGTCGGTTACGACGACAAACTGCAGTCAGGTTGAGACCCCGATGAGGACTACGAGCATGCAAATGAGCTTCCCTGAGATGGTTTCTGACAGTTTGTGCAAAAAACTGCAAGTTTGTGCAGGAATTATGGTATACTTCTGTAGCCTGACGACTAGTAACTTTAACCGTTGTTCATGTGAACTCAGACAGCCTGATGCTTTGTTTATAGACTATTTGTGGGTGGCTGTTTGTTGTTTCACCTATCAATTCGTGTCGATAAAGTATAATAAGGTAAATCCTGTATAGTGATTTATCCTATATAGTGCTTGCATAAAGCAAGTAGTGCATACACTTGTAGCTGTTATGTATCTTTGTAAGTCATTGTAAGTTCTCTTTTGAGGCACGCGCAAGCGCACAACCCCCTCCCCCCCGTTATAAAAAAAAAACAAGTGGGCTCCCCCAAAGTCCACGGTATAGTTGGAACACTGTCTGTGGCATTGTGCTGTGTGATAAAACTGCACATTTTAGAGTGGGCTTTTATTGTGGCCAGCCTAAGGCACACCTGTGCAATAATCATGCTGTCTAATCAGCATCTTGATATGCCACACCTGTGAGGTGGATGGATTATCTCGGCAAAGGAGAAGTGCTCACTAACACAGATTTAGGCAGATTTGTGAACAATATTTGAGAGAAATAGGCCTTTTGTGTACATAGAAAAAGTCTTAGATCTTTGAGTTCAGCTCATGAAAAATTGGGGCAAAAACAAAAGTGTTGCTTTTAGAATTTTGTTCAGTGTATATATTTAACTAAAACTGAAACCATGAAAAAATATTTATTTGAAATGAAAAAAAACGGTAACGCTTTACTTGAAGGGGTGTGCATAAGACTGACATGACACCTTCATAATCATGACATGACACCTACATAATCATGACATGACACATGTCATGAATATGAAGGGTTTTTATGCATGTTTATGACAACTGTCATTAAGTGTCATTCGCTCAGTTATGTAATTTTTAATGCAAAGATGACATTGTTTGAGATGTCTTTGTTATGGGCTATGGTTAGGGGTAAGGGTAGGGGTAGGGTTAGGTCAAATAATGTCATATTTGCATTAAAAATGACATAACTGAGCGAATGACACTTAATGACAGTTGTCATAAACATGCATAAAAAAAACCTTCATATTCATGACATGTGTCATGTCATAATTATGTAGGTGTCATGTCATGATTATGAAGGTGTCATGTCAGTCTTATGCACACCCCTTCAAGTAAAGTGTAACCAAAAAAACATACCTAAAATAAAATAATAAACTTATTTTATTTCAGCTAGATGCAGGGCAACATTTCTTATTTTATTTAGTTGAATTTAGTTATTTAGTATACTAAAATAAAAAAACTAATAAAAAAGGTCATAAAAATTAAATAGACATTTAATAATATGACAAAAACACCAAAATTACAAAAAATTCAAGTGAAAACAGAATATAGAAATACAATCTAATTCAAAATATTAACAAATTCACAATAGTATATTAATGACACTAATACTGGTTCAAATATTAATTATAATTCTAAATATAGATAGCAAATACATCTAATAAACATATGGTGACCAGCAGGAAAAACAAATAACTAAATATAAAATAAAATAAAAAGTTGCCCATATTTTTGTATTGCTAATTATGCTGTTTTTCAGCAATTGTCTCACTTGTGTCTATTTTTATTTTAGAAAAACCTCTAAAAAACTCCATTAGGTCTCCTGAGCTCCTGAGATTTTCCTCTGGGAAATCCTGTCTTGTTATTTTACTGCATGCAATAAACCTGTGTGTGAGTGTGTGTGTGAAAGAGAGAGAGACACTTTAAGTTGCTTTGCTGACATTGTGATAATCTTCCGTCCTTTGTAGATCGGAAAGATGTTAGTGTAATGTGTGTGTGTGTGTGTGTGTGTGTGTGTGTGTGTGTGTGTCTGTGTTTGTATGTGTGTGTGTTTACGTGTGTGTGTGTGTGTGCTGCCGTGCTCATGTGTGTATGACAGGTAATTATTGTTCGTTAAGCCCTGTTTTGCATGTGCATACCTCATTAACTCTGTGTAAATAGAGAGTCCAGCTCCCATAAATCCTCAATCTTCTAGTGGTGAGTGTGTGTGTGAGTGTGTGTTTGTGCTAGTGCATGTCAATATAGCCTGATTTTCCCAGCAGTCTGTGTGGTGGTGGTAAATAAATGAGCCGAATGAATCGTATCCCATAATGCTCTATGATGAGTCTGCTCACAATGTCAGAGCGGAGATATATGGGTTACCTGTTATTGCATCAATGCATGCATACACATAACACACATACACACACACACTCACACAATTCTTCACCATTTATTAAACATAATTTCCTGAAAATATTCCTCCTTCCATCAAAACAATATATCTTATCCTTTATATGCACATCACATGCCTCTTTATAAATCACCTTATTCTCCACACACACACACACACACACACACACACACACACACACACACACTCACACACACACACACACACACACACACACACACACTGTACTGAGCTACCTAAATGAAGACAAACCACTTTTTACTCTTTTTATGTAAAGATAATTATATTGACTAACCGTAAACAAACAAACAAAAAAAATAAAAAAAATAAATTAACGGTGTTTTTAGAAAAAGCATAATACTGTATATATATATATATGTGTGTGTGTGTGTGTGTGTGTGTGTGTAGAATTCAGATGCACAATCTGCACAAAGTTTGTCTGAGATTTTTCTTTTAAATAAGCATTTTTATCAGTGGCCTGTGTTTAGGTTCAGTAATTTCATTTTAATGGCAAATAAAAGGTTATTGGTCAGTTATTGAATGCCTTAATTTCAAAAATGTCCAATGTTATTTTCATAGGAGCCTGATAAAAATGCTCATTATAAATCATTATATTATAAATGAATTGTTTTTGCAAATGGAGATGAGGTTTTGTCATATTAGTTCATATGTGGGGTCAGATTAAACAAACTAAACCCACACTTACACAGTCACTTTGTTTGAGAACATACCAAAGACGTCTTGTATATAAAGCTGATTATAATTATTATACTACATGTCTTGGAAGAGAGGTTTTGTTACTAGCTCAATTATGGGGACAAATTGTAAAGCTAAGTACACAGCTCAGTAAAGACGCACACATAACTGCTGCTGTTGCTTAGCCAGTGTGTAATTTCCTGAACGACAGCAGTTTTGCTCCTGATGTGATGACGGACAGGAGGAAGGTTGATGTGTTTCTCTCTCTTCAGGGCGGCGGGCTGAGGTTGATTGACAGCAGCTCTGGGGTCGCGGTGTATCCGTTCTCCACAGCTGAGCGCAGGATAGATCTCCTGCCAGAGAGCTTTCAGCATCAGGCTGTCAGTAAGAGAGACTTCCACAGCGTCCTCAACAACATCCAGCGTCTGCTGCTCCGGGCCTCCTACACTCAGGAACACAGCGCCATCTACAGGTGCACTGCAGCGTCGCAGGCACACACACACACACACACACACACACACACACACACTCAAACCACAGGTCAGGATTTAGTGGACTGTGATCCAGAGCCAGAGCACAGATTGGTTCCATCCAGAATTCAAATAATTTATCATAAATTGGAATTCTGAACATTTTCTTCATTTGTCTGTAGACTGTGAAGGCAACACGGAAGCTGCTGCAACATGCATGCAACATATTTAAAATGTATATATACAGTGGTGGCCAAATGATTAGAACACTAGTATTTTCACCAGTTAAAAAATGGTTTTAAGTCAGTTAATTCAATTTTTGCTGTAGTGTGTCAGTAGGAAATATCAGTTTACATTTCCAAACATTCATTTTGCTATTAATTGTAATAATCCAGTGAGATTTTTGTGCTCCCACACAGAGATCTGATCTGATCATCATCAGTCTGTCTGGATTCATGACATGAAGAAACAGAACAAACTGAGACAGACTCAATCCAGAAGAACTGTGGAGAACGTCTCTAAGACGCTTCGAGAAACCTCCTGAGAAACTCTGCTCAAGTGCACCGAGGGCAAAAGCTGCTTTAAACGCAAAGCATGCTCACACCAAATGTTGATTTAATTTAGTTAATAGAAGTTCATTGATAAAGAAAATCTATTTATGGCATTATTTTTGACAGCATCCTCATTTTACAGCATTTTTACACAAGTGCCTAAAACTTTTAACAGCACTGTAGCTTTGCAAGAAGGTTTCTTGAAGCGTCTCGGAGACGTTGTTCTTCTGGATTGAGTCTGTCTCAGTTTGTTCTGTTTCTTCACGTCATGATTCCAGACAGACTGATGACGATCAGATCAAATCTCTGTGTGGGAGCACTTGGCTGTTGTCAGACAAAAATCTCACTGGATATTTACATATAAAGCACTATTTGCCTTAATATGTCTGCTGCTTGTTTATTCTCATACACAGCTGACAGAAGACAAGATGCAAACGGTTTGTCATGACAACAGCAAAGTTTAGGGTTTGATGTAGCATTTGATTTATTAGAGTCACAGACATCTGTTTTGATCAAATCTAATATTGCATCTGTTTTACCATAAAAAACAATACTGGATAAATCATCTCTCTTAGACTTGTTTGAGGCGTTTGACTGTGAACCTGAGATTTGACGTTATTCACAAGGGTTTCAGCATCCATCCTTCATAACAGTCACTGAATACTTTACTTTCAACAGGGGTTATGCATAAAATTGTTTCACATTGTTTCCGGTCTTCTGTATGTGCTTTGTTCAATATGGATATGTTTCATGAAAGATGCATTCAAAGAGATACCAAAGATGATCATGACCAATGTCTATCACATATGCAGACTGATATCTAAAGTTTATTTATTTTTATTTTTGAACTTTTATGCATAATTTATTCTTTAATAAGCACGGCAAGGTTTTCAATAAAGAAGTAAAGTCAAGATGTTTCAGACTTTTTCTGGGAATGATTTAGAAAGTTGAATGGAACCCCAGCTATAGACCATAGATTGGTATAAGCATTAGGGCTGACAAAGGTAACACATGCAATTAATCAAATATTTAACACCGTTAATGCATTTATCTGTGATAACTGGTTCATTCTTTTCTGTTTTTTACAATCAGATTTTAAACTCATTTGATGTTTCAGAGTAGATTAAAAGCAATCAGAGCCACACACACACAGTTTATTTATTTACACTCAAACCTAGACGTTTAACTACAGTCAAGTCATTTGTACTCTTTATATGGTTAAATATAATCTTCTAGAGCTCAACAAGAGAAATATCACATACAGTAGAAATGTTAATGTGAACACCAGCAGAGCGCTGTTGTGTCAGGAAACCTCTGCATTATATCATTATATTATCTTATCATGGTGTGTTTGTATTTCAGCATGTGTTTTGATGCAGTTTGAGTAATATAGAATAGGTTTGTAAGAATAGGCATGAATTCCCACAAACTGCTGGACCTAATTATTAAACCAAGCCTGTTATTAACTCTTTAGCTATTAACCGAATTATACGATTAATCACAATTAAGCATTGTAATCAACTGACAGCCCTATAGCAGTATCCTGTGCAGTGATATCCTCTCTCTCTGTGTGTCTGTCTCAGGTTGGGTCGCGTGAGCATGAGTGTGGCTGCTGAAGGCTCTGGCAGCGGCGTTAAGGCCCGCGCTGTGGAGGTGTGCCAGTGTCCTCCCGGATATGACGGCACTTCCTGTGAGGTAAGCCAGAAAAACAAAGCTACATATAACAAGGTAAAAACGGACAGGAGATGCTCTTATGTCTGACACGGGAGAATTTAGACCCTTCTCTGAAGCTATGTTTCCATCCAAAGATGCGAATTTAACTTATGCGCAAAACTGGATTATCGCATAACACATTTGCGAATAAAGCACCGTTTCCATCCAACGAGTCAAAGAGAACAAAATCGTCACTTCCTGATAAACTGGCACTGAATATCTCTAAGAACTAGGATAAACTAGGAGAAGCCACTGAATGTAATTTTCATATGTAATAAATGACTTGCGCCTCAGAGAGAGCAGACGTAACACAATAAATGCGGTCATTGCTTTTAGAGGTGGATAGCTGCTGTTTGGAACGCAGTCGTGTAAGACTATATTGACACGGGAGAATTTAGACCCTTCTCTGAAGCTATGTTTCCATCCAAAGATGCGAATTTAACTTATGCGCAAAACTGGATTATCGCATAACACATTTGCGAATAAAGCACCGTTTCCATCCAACGAGTCAAAGAGAACAAAATCGTCACTTCCTGATAAACTGGCACTGAATATCTCTAAGAACTAGGATAAACTAGGAGAAGCCACTGAATGTAATTTTCATATGTAATAAATGACTTGCGCCTCAGAGAGAGCAGACGTAACACAATAAATGCGGTCATTGCTTTTAGAGGTGGATAGCTGCTGTTTGGAACGCAGTCGTGTAAGACTATATAGAAATGCTTTGATGACAGACTTTCCTCAGGCATTTCAGAACGACCAAAACAACATATAGATGCTGTAAGCGAGATCAGTCCGCTGGTTTGTCAAGTTAACCCGTCTCATAGCGCAAAGTCACATGACTTTTTCAATGCGCATGGTGGAATTTATTCGGAATTGTATGTGTTTCCATCATAGTTTATGCACATTTTTTCTTATCGGATAAAAAGTTTATCCTACTCAATTGTGTGTTCTCAACAGTTTTAGAATTTTTGCTCATCTTGGCGTTTCCATCCAGCATTTTTTAATGCGATAATCCAAAATGCACATAAAAATAGGTGGATGGGAACATAGCTAGTGATTGTAGTCAGTGTTGGGGGTAACGCATTACAAGTAACGTGAGTTACGTGATCAGATTACTTTTCCCAAGTAACTAGTAAAGTAACGCATTACTTTTAATTTAGAAGGAAACATCTGAGTTAATTGTTCAAATACATAATGCCAGCTAAGTTGTTTTTCTATGTCTTGACTAACAGCTCTCGTGTTGCCATGTTGAGAGAAATCAGGAGTCAGTGCAGAGCATTGTGTGTGAACATGATCTTACTGCAGTTCTAGACTAAATACGAACATGTGTTTACTCATCTCACCCGCACAAAAACAGATTCAGTATTCTTCAAAGTAAATAAAAACAGTCAAATGCAAACTCAGAATATTACACGAACATGCAATAATTAAATATGTTAAATAAGACAAATATCATTTATGTATTTAATCCCATTTTATTAACCAATGTCTTTGCTGCTGATGTTTGATGATACAATTCAACCATACTAAGCAAAAATGACACATTTGTGTTTGATTTTTGTTATTGCTGAAAGTGTTGAACTTTCTTCTCCTGCGTCATATTCTTCATGTAATTATTTTTTAGTTGCGCCCTCTACTGTACAGACGTGAATTTACATTTCCTTCAGCCTGAGGAGTATTCATTTCACTTTTGGTGTGAAAGGGCTTTTACATTTGTAAAAGAAGACAGACTGTTTTATATTAAAAACAAACAAGCAAGCCCTGCCCAGATTTAAAAAGTAACGCAAAAGTAACATAACGCATTACTTTCCATAAAAAGTAACTAAGAAATGTAATTACTTTTTAGGGAGTAACGCAAACATTGTAGTGCATTAGAGCACAGTATATTTGTAGGTCAACCTATATGTTGGCATCAGCCTGGTTCCCTCTACAAAAAAACAATAGGATTTTTCCATTGGCTTTTTCGATTATTGCCGAAAATGAGCTCTGTAACCAACAAACGTTTATGATTCTTACAGGTTTTGCTCGTAATGATAAGCTTCACAGATGAACACAACTTTTATGAATTTTGATGCCTAAATACAATCGTCAAAAGTAAAAAGCTAAGCATAGGATATAAACAAAATACACTGCAGTTGCATGACTTTAACAGCTCTATCTATTTTTGAAAAGTACAGTAGAATGCTTTTCAAGAGCATGATTATAAACACAACGAGGCAAGTGAATAGATGAGTTTTCCTGTTCTTTGTCAATTTTAATGTCTCTGACAACCTCTGTAGTGCCATTTAGACACTTGTTATCAACTGCCTTTTTCAAGACAAGTAAAAGCTTTTTAAAAATCACAAGAGGTTATTACTGATGTATTTTATATTGTAGAAAATATATATTAATGTGAAAATATATTGCGCTTGTGTTCTCCACTGATCTCCCTAGTAAAAAAGTACTATATTTAAAATCCATTTATTTCATACTAAGTATAGTTAAAATCTATTAACATATTTACTGACGCATCGCTCGAGACTTACTGATATAAAAATGATAATTAAACTTTATTTGGAGTGCTACTTGTGCCCAGCGCACATTTCCTAATGGCAAGTCCAACATGTGTTTTAATGTCACTATTGATGAAGATTGTATGATCTTTGAATAATATCAGTCTTTAAATGCAAGATATTTAAAGTGCACCTGAAGTATACTTGCAATAGTTTCACTTTAGCAGAATCAAACATACTTCAGTATATCTTTTGATGGACTTCAGCTCTACTTCCCCACAATTAAACTGCATTAAACATAAAATTAGTAGTTTTAATTTAGCAGACTGAAAGTACAATTGCAGAATATTTTTATTAAGTACATAAATATGTAAATATATTTGTAGTATCCTTAGCATGAAATAAATATATTTCAAATACATTTATCATATCATAACAAAAATAAACACTGGTATTCGGTATGAACCGGTATACCGCCCAGCACTACATTTAAGTATATTTATTTATTTACTATGGCTATTTCAGGCATTTAACCAAAAACCCATTGACTTTTAGCATGATGGAACCAGAAGCACTATAATTCAACTCATGTCCGGGTTTTGGCCTCCAAAAATACATCATACAGCACTCTATTAGCAAAAAATGTGTTTTAAAATTTCTGTTCATCCAAAATGAATATGGATTATTTCACAGATATAAACGAAGTGGACTATACTATACAGATTAAGCGTTTATCTGCTTCTAACAACCTCAAACAGGACTCTGTCTTCAAGGGTTCCACCTGGTAAACTAGCAAATCCAGACACTGCTGTTGCCCAGAGGTGTTAATTGAAGCCGGTCGGTGTGTTTTAAACAGCGTCCCAGTGGACCGATGCACTGACAGTCTGAAATAACTGCACTTTACTGTCAGGTGTTCCTCATGCTCCTCCTGAGACAGACCCTGATCAATGGGATGAATATCTAGTTTGTTTCAGGGCACGCGCGTGTGTGTGTGTGTGTGTGTGTTTGTGTGTGTGTGAGTGTGTGTGTGTGTGTGTGTGTGTGTGTTTGTGTGTTTGTGTGTGTGTGTGTGTGTGTGTGTGTGTGTGCGTGTGCGTGCGTGCGCGCAGGGGTGGCTGACTGTGTTGAATCTCTGGGATATGCTTTCTCTCTGCATAAGTGTCTCCTCTATTAAAGCTGCAGTGGTTATTGATTTCTGAGCGAGCAGATTTTTATGCTGATGTGAGCAGGTCCCACTGGCCAAGAGACAGAATGAGACTGTGATCATCTCAACCGCAGGATAAACCCACCCTGTAACATCACCAGAGGCGGACAAAGTACTCAACTCCATTACTTGAGTGAAAGTACAGATACTGCTTGTCAAATATTACTCCATTACAAGTAAAAGTTGTAAAGACAGATTTTTACATAAGTAAAAGTACAGAAGTACTTGCTTTTAAAAGTACAAAAGTAAATTTCCTTTTTTTATGTCAATGCACTATTTTATTGTTGTATGTAATACTTGCAATACTTCTGAAGCAACTTACAATACATTACACCTGCTGAATACACTGACTAGCTTGTAGTATCTTTGGAATAAAGAGCTTTTAGAATGTTAAAAACCTATGGGGGAAAAAATTAACCCCCCCTCCCCCCCCCCCAAACAAACAGGATTGTAGTGATCCCACACAGCCCTAACAGTGTGTGCACACATCTATGTGTAGCCATTCATCCACATTTGAACAGAGTGGACAGTGAAATCCTGTAAATACAGAGTGATAAGAAAGAAAGAAAAATCAAACCTGCTTTAAAACCCAGCAACACAACCGTAGCTGTATAACTTTACAACAGCAACACTGATTTAACAAAAAAGCAAAACTGCAAGACTTATTTGACATCAAAACAACATTTTTTTAGATGCTGTCTAATCGCTCTCGTGGTACTTTGATGTCACACACAGAACAGTCTGTGCAGTGCTGCTTCAAGTCCAACACCTTTTGTGTTTTATTAGGAGACGCACAGTTCTTCTGTGGCTTTATAGGTAATATTTTCACTTACACAATTTAGCAAAATCAGACAATATTGTGTCTAATATATACCACAATATTAATTTCTTATTATTGAATTGTTGTAAATAAATATCACATTTGGAACTGATCAGTGTTAAAAAAAATGCTGGGAAATCGCTTCATGTAGCCCTACAAGAGTGATTACTGATGTAGTGGAGTGAAAAGTACAATATTTGTCTTTCAAATGTAGTGAAATTAAAGTAATAAGTTCCCAGAAAAAATAATACTCAAGTAAAGTACAGATACTCAAAACGTGTACTTAAGTACAATACTCAAGTAAATGTACTTAGTTACTGTCCGCCTCTGGATTTCACCAAAAATCAAAGCTCAAATCACAAACACACATTTACTCGGCTAAATGAGGACACAATGCTTCAGACACCGGTCATGCTAAAGGCGTTCCCCAAAGCGACCCCTAGAGGACGCAGTTCGAAGTTCC